TAATCCATCCCACATTTGAGCATCTTTTACTATTATTAATAGAAAGATCTTCACTATATTGAACCAAAACATTTCCCCAAATCCCAATCTTGGTCTAAACCTGTGGGACTCTACAGAGAAACCTAATTCTGCTTCTATATGGCAATCCATCAAATAAGAAAGAGAAAAATCATGTCCCACCACAAATCTTCTTTCCTCCAGTTAACTTTTCCAATTCCCTAACTTTTCCATCAGATGACAAGATTCCAAGTTCTCTCTCATCAAAACACATGTTTTGTGGTTTCACGTCTTGCTCTATACCCATGGAGAGTGGAGGGCAGCATTATCCTATCACCAGCATCCCAAAGTGTGTTCAAATGATGACTTCCCTGTCATAAGTGGTGACATTCCCATCTTACAGGGATGTGGTCTCAATTTACTCCTACACTCACTTTGTCCTGGTATTGTGGACTTTAATCTACTCAAAGTAACATCAACAAATACCAGCCAAAGGGTTTTTTATGTGCTCATCATTGTTTTGTGAAGAATGCAAAGAAATATAGAAATTCTTAAGGAATTTACAGTCTGTTTGAAGAAACAACATGTAAATATATCAGAGTGTTTTAAATACAACATACAGTTGCCATAATGTGTGAATTAAAATACCTAAGGAATTTTGGTAAAGGATGGGTCATGGTGAGGTAACAAAAAGAAGAATAGTGACAGAAGGAATGTACCCTTTAAGGTAAAACACTCGTTGGTACTCCTGGCTTCGATACCTGTTGCATATGCACAAAGATTAAGTACTTAATCTTTTTGAGCTTTAGCTTCTTCATCTGTAAAGTATGATAACAACAATATTTAAATATAGAGTGGTTGTGAGGCAAATGAGAAAATGTATGTTAGGGTGAGGAACAGCAGAAGCAGCAGTGTGGGACGGAACAAGCTCTGCATGTAGCAGGCGGGAGTGAGAGACCAAATTCTATTAAGAGCCTGCCCGCTTCAGCTGCCCCAGTGGTAAGAAAGACCTTTAAAACACAGTGCTAACAATGAATGGGGCTGCCCTGGGAGGTTGTGAGCACCAGGATGTCACTTGGGGAGTCCAAGCAAAGCCTGGAGAATTGAGTTTCAGGGCAATTGGAGGAGAATTCTCTCCTGGGAAGGAAGTTAGACCAAGTGACCCCAAGGAGCTTTCTAATTCAAGGCTTCTCCATGGGGAGATTTGGATGGGAACTAGCTCTCTGTTCAGCTAACCTGCTTTCTTTGCTTCTCTCGTAGGCTCTTCAGAAGAAACCTGACCCCCTCCCAGCTCAGAACCCCTGCACTACCATTTATGTTGCTGCCACAGAGCCTGACCCCGAGTCTGTCCAGGTGAGGCATCTCTGTGCCTCCTCTCTGTACAGAGGGAATACGTGAAGAAGGGAAAGGGGGGGAAGTTTTTGTTTGTTTTTGTTTTTATGTAGAAATGAAAGGAAACAGATTTCTGAGTCCTGGACAGGGGAAGGTAGGCCACAGCAAGCAGTCAGCACGGAGGATCTGTGGCCTTGGTTTTAGGGTTTCCACGAAACCCCTTACACCTGCTCACAGGGAATCACGGCTCACTCCCTACTGGCTGGTGTTTCTCTGAGAGTCATCCAAGGACCACACCAAAATCAGCAGGCATACTTGTTAAAAATAAAGACTCCTGGGGCCATCCACCTAAGATTCTATTAAATCATAATGTCTATGAAGAGTACCCAGGGACCTACACATTAGAAAGCAACATAGCCCAGGTGATTGTGATGCACATTTAAGTTTGGGAATCGCAGCTTGAGTCCAGGACTTCTCACCTCCCGCTGCAAAACAGAATTGCCAGGGGAGCTTTGTGAAAACGTTCTTGCCTAGACTCTATCCAACTCCATTTAATCAGAATATTCACGGGTGGAGCTCAGCATGGGTGTTAAGGCTGGAAGAGAATATGAGGTGCAGCTCGGAATGAGACCCACCTATTCCACCCCAGTACAAAATCCACACTAACTAGGCTTACTTCTGACAGGAATGTCTCTGTCACCAAATGAATAGGAATAAATTCTGAGCTGAAATCTTGGCTCCAGTTGGGCTGTTTTAGGAGACAGCCCAGGATTATCGAGGCACAAAGGTCACAAAAATGCATACATCCACCTGTCTTCTTCTAAGTTCCTACTTCGCAAACACCCAGAAATGCCTGGGCGGAGGCCTTGTTTTAAGATGAAGTAGACCTTCAACGTGAGGTCTATTCTCAGTACGTTGTCATATCTGAGAGGAAAATAAAAATACAAACCTGACTTCAAAAGCTTTAAACTTTAAATAACGTAGATTTTTAATGAAGTTTACTTAGGGAAGAAAATGTTACGGTTTACATTCTACAGTGAAACCTCTTAAATTCCCCATTCCCTTGTCTTTCTTTTTCTGATTCCTCTTTCCTTGGGAGAGATCTCTGTGCACAATCGTCTTCTCCCCTCCCTCCTTCTCTTCCGCTGGTACTACTTCTACCCTCTCCTTTGGGTCTTGCTCGCCCTTTTTAAAGCTCAATAATTTAGAACTTCCTTGGCTTCTCTAGACTGTGTCTCATGCCAACAGCAAAGCAACTGGTTCTCTTTACAAGGGAAGGGAAGGGAAGGGAAGGGAAAAGAAGGGAAGGGAAGGGTAGGGGAGGGGAGGGGAGGCAAAGGAAGGTCACTGAGGACAGGTCTCCTTGACTCCCCCTGATGCTTGGAAGGGAGCTGTGGCCCTCACTGCCAGCGGAGCAGCAGTCTGGGGACCTGAGTGCTGCTCCATCAACGCTCCCTCTGTGACAGACCCTGAGCAAGTCGCTAAGCTACATGATCTCTGAGACCCTTTCCTCAGCAGCGCCGTTTCTGTTTGCAGCCTCGGAAGCTAGTGTCGGGTCCTTCCACTCACAGACTTCTTCTGCTTTGCCCCCAGGAACCGAGTTCCATCACAGTCTATGCCAGTGTGACACTTCCAGAGAGCTGACACCAAAGACTCAGTAAAGGGACTTTCTGAAAGAAAATAGAAGAAACAAAATAAACACTGAACTTGGCCCCAGGCCCCAAGTTCCATCTGATGGACACTTTACACGTCTGTACCCTTCTTGAATCAACGCCCTGGTGATGTTTCGCATACATCTGTGAAACGGACAAGGAAGGGTGGCCTCCCGAGCATTTAGCCTGCTCTGCGGTGGGCGCAGTCACAGGACAGAGAGCTACTCCATACAGCTTTCCATCTTTGTGGTGTGGCAAACGAAATGGGTAATGTGAATCCAGACTTCAGACATCCTGCTCTTTGTTGGGATTGGATCATAAAAACCAAAGACAGAAATTGAGGACATCTAGTACCTGTCTCAGACTGCTGAGCACCAGCCACAACATCTGGAAGAGCTTACATTCTGGCTGTCTTTACTTTATTCCGGGAGCTGATCCTGATCACCTGCAGACCTTATCAAGGCTCTGTGCCTCAGTTTCTCTTTCTGGATGAAAGGTGAAAGAAGGACGAAGGGTGAATTCCTTATTATATGTAAAACACTCTGAGATTATCCTATGAAAGAAGCTAAGAGCATCAGTATTTTATTTGCAAAACCCAGAAGCTGAAGAGTCAATAAACTGAAAGAATGACTTTGAGATCTCTGAGCTTTGAACAATAGAATGAAAACCATCTAAGATTCTAAAAAGTACAGTTCTGTGCAAACAGCATTTAGTTAAAAAAAAAAAAAAGTAGTGAGTATTTGGGGTGCTGTTACAAGGGAATGTGAGATACTCAGAAGAAATTATCCCAGAGTGATTTTTCACTTCCCAAAACGATCTTTAAATCCTAGTTCTCTGTTTACTCCCTTGAACACCAAACCTGGAGCCTCTGCTAAGGCTGTCTCCGCTCTGGTTCTGAACCACTTTACACACAGAGCCTCACAGGGTATTGCAGGTCAGCAGGTCTCTTCCTGCTGCTGCATACCTCTCCTCACACGAATTTCATCTTTGAGCAGCAAATTAAGTTATTTTGGCCCAACAGATTCAAACGATTGAATGTTCAGTAACTTAGTTCAGTAACTTAGTTTGCAGGCTGCAAGCAGAAAGAGGCTCTTTTAGTAAAGTCCTATTTCTTCCCATTCCCTGCTATCAAACAGGCCACCTTCCATGTAAGCTCTTCTTACTGGTTCTTGCATAACCTCGGTGAACACGGTAAGAAATAACCACCATACCATTGCATAACAAGGGGCACCAATTTCCCAGCTCAAAATTCCGGGGTTGTCATTGCCTTGTACCTTACTTCCTCTATTCAGTCGATTCACAGTTTAGGTTCTGCTGCTTACTGCCTCTCATTTCCTGGTACCCGCTTCTGTAACAGGATTCTCAGCAGCAATCCACAGAAACTGACTTTGGATTTTTTTTTTTTTTTTTGAGACAGAGTCTCACTGTGTTGCCCGGGCTAGAGTGCCATGGCGTCATCCTAGCTCACAGCAACCTCAAACTCCTGGGCTCAAGCGATCCTCCTGCCTCAGCCTCCCGAGTAGCTGGGACTACAGGCATGCACCACCATGCCCGGCTAATTTTTTCTATATATTTTTAGTTGTCCAATTAATTTCTTTCTAATTTTAGTAGAGACGGGGTCTTGCTCTTGCTCAGGCTGGTTTCGAACTCCTGAGCTCAAACAATCCACCCGCCTCGGCCTCCCAGAGAGCTAGAATTACAGGCGTGAGCCACCGCGCCCGGCCTGGATTTTTTATATGTAGAAAAGGAACTTATTGAAAAGATATTGGTTGGTTTGAATAACTGCTAGGAGGTTCTACAAAACTGTGCTTTGAGAGTGAGCAGGAAAAAGGGAGGTTAAACTATGGCTGGGACCACAGCCAAAATTACAAAACCAGCCCAGGGATGACGATCCTGGGCCCCACAGTTGCACAGCCACCGTCCCCAGCACTAGACACAGACTCCACCACTGCCTCACTGCCCCTGATGGACTTGGAAAGTTGATATTACTGTTGCTGCTGCACTGTCTGCCACCAAAATTAATTCTCCAGGGTCCCTTCCTCATCTTTTCTTTTTTGTTGTTGTTTTCTTTTCTTTTTTTTTTTTTGCTGGTCAAGAGAAGCAGTGGGAGTGGAGAAGGAACAAAGGAATCTATAATTGGTTGTGAGCATCCTCATCTTTTCATCTGCAGTTCTAATTCAAAGTTTGGGACTGAGTGACTAATCCTAGGTCACACACCCATGCACTACCTCCAAGGGGGGCTGGGAATTGAATATCTGGCATTTTCCGCATTCATAGTGGTTGGGAGACTCTGCCTCTTACGAGTTGGGGAATTCTCCAAATAGAAGAAGTGGGGTCCAGGTTCTGGGCAGGCAAAAAGTAACATGTCCACTACACCACCTTGTATAACCTTAAACTCATTGGCTGTCTATTCTCAAAACTGTGGAGCTACTAACAGGGATTTATGAATGCTGGGGTTTTGAGCACTCATTTTTTTTTTTTTACTACAACTCAAATTTCTCTAGACGCTTAGTTTCCAACATTTGGATTTTTCCTGTGCCTGAATTCTACCTGAATTCTGAATAGATGGGCAGAAACAAATGGGGGAAAAGATACCATCCCTTCAAAATTTCCCAAATCCCTAGATTCAAGACCTCACCAGGGAGGGAAACTGTGTCTTAGAGGGAGTCTTTCAGGCCACCCACCAAACACTTGACATCATTTCCCGCACTCCCAGACTCTGGGTTACAGGTGGGAAAGCAGAGGACTCCTTCTGCTGATCTTGCCACTATTCAGTTATCCCCAAATGTCACTGTGGGTGAGCATGAGCTTGCCTTTTCCTCAGGCTTAAAAAAATAAAACGGAGACTTTAGAGTCTGATTTCCCCATGTTCCCCTCTAATGTTGTTTTTTTTTGACCAAGCACATCTGAATTCTGGGGAAGTCAGGAGGAACAGATCCATTCTCGGTTTTAAGGGACTGATGTTCTGAAACACAACTGGGCGTGGTCCCAGGCTCTTCAGGACACTCTCAGTCATGCAACCGGATGTGAGTATTACAGGATGCTGCTGAGAAGCCACTGAGTGTTAATTTTCCTCCTGAAATTTATGTTTCTACTTCTTAGAAATGAATAAATTACAGCCAATCCGTCAAGGAAATTGCACTTTTGTCTTGTGTTTCCCAGAGGATTTATAACATGGTAGTATGCCAAGACATGTCAGCTGGCCTTGTGTCTCCACAGCCACAGTTATGAAACTCTGAAGGTAGCTGATTTGATCAGATGAGCCGGGAGGTTGTCCCTTCTTAGTGGGTGGATAAGGATTAGCCAGGCGTCCACTTTACCAAAGGTCAGGCACCACCCTCTGTGTGGGAAAGAGAACTGTGTTTAAAGGATTGTTTAAATTTTTTTTTGCCACTGCCAGAGTAATCCCCTTCCCTGAACTTCCCCAAACTCCCCTTGTGGAGAAAATCTAGACCAGGGTTTCTCAACTGCAGCACTATTGACATTTTGGGCTGGAAAATTCTTTGTTGTGGGAACCATCCTGTGCACGGTAGGGTGTTTAGCAGCGTCCTTGGCCTCTGCCCACTAGATGCCATAACACACGTCCTGCCCTTGATCATGACAATCAAAAGTGTCCCCAGACATTGTCAAACGTCCCCTTCTGGGAAAAATGTCCCCCAGTTGAGAACTACTGATCTAGAGATATGCTGGCCCCTTAGTAAGCTTTGAAAAGACTAAATAACCTTCTATATACCAAGAAGTTGGTCTATCAAAAATCATAGTTTGAAAGTGACCACCTGATCACTTAAGGGTGGCCCAAACCTACCAATATTTCCAAGGTTACCTAAATATTAGAATTACCTAAGTAGCTTTGAAAAGATAGTGATGTCCAAATCCAATCTCAAACCCAAATGAAATCTGGGTTGAGATCTATAGAACCACCATCCTGGAGATTAAAAGACAGAAAGGATTTTTGTCATGAGTTCCTCACAACAGCCACAAGAGGGTGATGTAGCAATACAGTCCACCGTCCCCGAGATCCCCACCACCACTTCACTGCATCGAAAGGATATGGACTTCGTTTACAGACTCGCTAAAACTGTGTGTGGATTCTCATCAGCTCACAGCACTTATAGGCTGGAAGGAGAGTTGCCTCCTCTCCTTAGAGATAAGGAGGCCCAGTGTGGGTTGATGACAAGTTCTAAAAAAGGGTAACTGCAATAAGTTTATTTCACAGAAATTGAGTTCTACTCAATCCTTCTCCCATTCAACAGTTATTAAGTTCCTACTAAATGTTTGACCCTGTCACCCAGTGCGAGATACAAAGAACACAGGCAACTAAAATATTATGATAGGTGGGTCACTACATGATCTAGTGGGATCCACTGGAAAATAAAAGCAGATGCTGTTAATAATTACACAGGGGCAATGGCCTGGGTATGTGGTCACCCTAATGACAGAGAAAGTGAGGAGTCTTCAGTAAGCACATGGGAAGTGCACCCAACTTTAGGAATAAGGAAGATAAGCTCATTTTAGGTAAAAAAGTTGAAGTGGCAATGGAAATCAAGTAGAGAATTTCCATGAAGTAGCTAGAGATGATACAGTGTAGCTCAGATTAAAAAAATAGAACCAAGACATGAGAGTCACCTTCATCGTAGTCAAACTTTGAAGCTGACACTAGGGAAGGAGAGAGAGAGAAAAGGTAGGCCATTGATAATGTTATACCCACATTTAAAAGACAGAAGAATTTACAACACAGTCAAGGATGTAGATAAGATCACTGGTGTTACAGAAGGCAAGAGAAGAGATTCCAAGGAGGACAAAACAGCCACCTCTGGCAGAAGCTGCTGAAGGAGAAAGAGCCTTAGGAAGGGCCACTAGGTTTGGCAACAGATGATAAAAGATTTCCCATCTCTTGTAATGATCTCCAAAACTTATACCCCCACTAACAGTACATTAGAATTTCTCTTCCCCCCTTTCCTCGCCAGCACTTGATATTATCATTTTTTTTAA